TATTTTTGAAAGTTTGGGCATTGTCTTCCATTTCTCTTGCCCCCATACAAGCCAACAAAATGGTCGTGCCGAACGCACCATCTGCACTATCAACAACACTGTCCGCTCTCTACTTTTTCAAGCTAACCTCCCACCCACATTTTAGGTCGAAGCCCTTCACATGGCCACTCACCTTTTTAATATCCTCCCCACCACCACCCTCAATTTCCGCACTCCTCACGAGGTCTTCTATGGTCAACCCCGCACTTACTCTCATCTTCGAGTATTCAGTTGCCTTTGCTACCCAAATATTTCCGCCACTGCTCCCACAAACTTGCCTATCGCTCTGCCCGATGTGTTTTCCTTGGGTACCCGTCCAACCAGCGTGGTTACTGATGTCTTGATCTCGAAACTCACAAGGTCATCATCTCCCGTCATGCCGTGTTCGATGAACACATCTACCCCTACAGTCATCACTCTAGTCCCATAGAATTAGCCTTCCTCGACTCCACGGAGGATGACACCACCCCCTACCATCTCCAATACCACCCCACGGCCCACCCAAGCTTCCAACCCCCCATACTCGCTTCCCACCTAAACTCCCCAACCACCCCACCCACGGCCCACTCAAATCCCAACCCCACGGCCCAACCAACCCAAAACACTCCCCCCTCACCTCATACCCAGCCCGAACCAGAAACCCAACCCACTACCACCCACGGCCCACCCCCTAACCCCCACGGCCCACTACCTACCCATCACATGGTCACCCGGTCAAAGGCGGGCATCACCCGTCCAAAACATATCCTAAACCTCAATACCACTGCCCAAATCTCCCCTCTACCCCCTACCTACCGTAGTGCCCTTAAGGACCAGAACTGGTATGATGCTATGTGATGAATTTAATGCTTTGATTAAAAATGATACATGGGAACTTGTACCCCCATACCCCTCCCAAAATGTTATCACTGGTAAATGGCTCTTTTGCCACAAATTTGGCCCTACAGGTGAACTTTCCAGGTACAAAGCTCGGTGGGTTGTTCATGGACTCAATCAGCGCTTCGGAATCGACTATGAGGAGACTTTAAGTCCGGTTGTGAAACCTGCCTCGGTGTGCATTGTTCCTAGCCTAGCCCTGTCACGAAGATGCATGGCCGATTCATCAGCTGGACGTGAAGAATGCTTTTCTTCACGGAACCCTTCAGGAGACCGTTTACGCCAGCCAACCATCCGGGTTCCAGGATCCCACACGGCCCCATTGTGTGTGTCACCTGAAAAAGGTGTTATACAGCCTCAAGCAAGCTCCCCGCTCCTAGTATCATCGTTTTGCAAGATTTCTCCTCACCTTGGGCTTTGTCAGGTGTAAGAGCGACACATCTCTCTTTGTCTACACTCGTGGGGATGACAGGGCTTATCTATTGCTTTATGTGGATGACATTGTTCTCACCCCCTCCTCCTCCTCTCTACTCCAGCACCTCACTCAACAACTTAAGGGAGAATTTGCTATGACAGATATGGGTGACCTTAACTTTTTTTCTCGGGATCAATGTTCAGCGCACTACGGAGGGGCTATTTCTTCATCAGACACAGTTTGCTCGGGAGATCTTGGAGCGGGCAGACATGCTAAACTGCAAGCCCATCTCCACCCCAGTGGATACCAAGGCGAAGTTAGGGGCCTCCTCCGGAATACCTCTTTCCGATCCGACTCTATACAGGTCCATCGTTGGTGCATTGCAGTATCTCACATTCACTCGTCCTGATCTCACCTATGCCGTCCAGTAGTTATGTCTTCATCTTCATGCCCCTCACAACACTCATCTTTCTGCCATGAAGCGTGTTCTACGCTATCTTTGCGGCACCACTACTCACGGGATCACTCTCCATCGCACTTGCATGAATTGCTTACAGGCCTACTCAGATGCTGATTGGGTAGGGTGCCCCGATACTCGCCGCTCTACCTCTGGATATTGTGTGTTCCTTGGCGATAATCTCGTATCTTGATCCTCCAAGAGAAAAGCTACTACATCCCGATCGAGTGCTGAGGCTGAGTATCGTGCTGTTGCAAACGCCGTGGCCGAAGCGAGTTGGATTCGGAACGTACTTCTTGAGTTACAGCAACCCCTATGCCGCACCACTCTAGTCTTCTATGACGTCAGCGCAATGTATCTCTCATCCAACCCTGTTCAGCACTAGCGCACCAAACATGTGGAGGTTGACATTCACTTTGTTAGAGACAAAGTCACCTTAGGACAAGTCCGCGTCCTTCATGTTCCCTCATCTTCCCAGTATGCCGACATCTTCACTTAAGGGCTCCCATCTCTCCTCTTCTCCGATTTCAGACATAGTCTCGGCATCCGTCCTTCATCGGTTACGTAGTTGGGAGCATGTTAAATATATTTTGTATATTTAAATATTATTATATTTGGTAGTTTCCCTTGTATAGAATGTTTACATTTATGGCCTGCCATAATTAGGAGGCTTGTATTTTGTATATATAGGAGGCTTGACCTCCGAGATCAATATAGAAAATAACTCTTCTTCACAAGTAATGCAAATCTACGCACTTCTATTCATAACAGTGTAGAGAATATGCATCTGAATTTATTCAAACAACATTTCTGACTAATATAATCGCAAACTCATTGTTTTCAAAACCATCAATATGTTATACTTAAAAAGACATACTTTCAAACAATATTGATAGAGGTAAAAAGAATATTAGTGTTTAAGATTTCATATGACATTTAATTTGTAACATGAAAAATATTATTATGTAATATGAATATAGAACATATATTTTTGTAAAATAGCATCTATGTTTTCTAATATTTGGTTATTTTAATGCCGATCATTTAGTTTAATTTTCAAAAAAATTCAAAAAGTAGTGATAATAAGAGATGTTTAATAATTCAAAAAATTTTAAAAATATCAATGATTAGCTTATTTTCTTATTTTACTTTTGTTATGTATATATGAATTGTAATACTTTTAAACTATTAAACTTTGTAATAACTTTAAGTTTAATTTAAATTCTTTTATACCAGATCTAATTAGATAAAGTTAGATCTAATAAAATCAGATCAGATCCAATCAGATCAGATCAGATTCAATCAGATCAAATCAGATTGAATCAGATCAGATCATACTCCATTGGTGAGCTTTGTAGTGTAGTGTGGTGATCTTAGCGTCATCTCACCGAAGCATGTCAATTCAACATAAAGTGTTATCTGACTAGAGTCAATCCCATATATATATATATATATATATATATATGGATGGCGGTGTTTATAGAGAGAAGGCGGAGCAGAGATTTCTTTTCCCGTCGATCTGATCTCCATAGCCATTTTACACTCAATAACTTTGGTTTTTTCAACTCCCAACGCTCCCATCGATCCAACGGCGACCGGCGGAACCTTCATAGGAAAAGGGAACCACAAAACCGAAGTAGTAGATGGCCATTCCGCGACCCAGGTTTAAAGGATAAGAATGATGCTTATGTTTTTAGTGGTTCTAGACTGGTTCTCAATAATTTTGAAGATCGACCCTCCGAAATCAAAGTTAGCAGAAATCTTAGATTCAAATTTAAGACACAATCTAAGGTATTTGAGTTTTTTCACTCATTTTACAATCAAAATTTCTATGTCTCTGATTACGGAAGTAGAAGATATCATTTATGGTTTGATTTGGACACCATCAAATGGTTATTGGATTCGTTGTCCCTCATTTCCAAATTGAGAGGCAGGGAAACTTCTCTGATTGAGGTGAATAGAAGATTAGATATTAGCTTAGGTTCAAACAATAAAGGTTACTATATCAAAATCACAGAGAGAAGGCGAGAGGGTAAGAGGTTTTTAGTCATCCCTTTTGATTCACACAGGGATGGTCCGAGAATCTTCATCAGGGCACTCTCTAATTTTATTCATAGAGCTACTTCGGTTTGCCCTACACTGCCTTCGGTTTGCCCTACACTGCCTTCGGTGGAGGATAATGTACAGTTACCGTTTGTTCCAACAGAACTAAAAGAATTAAAGCCAGATACCCATACTAGGCACACCAAGGGGCCACCAATCCTGCATACACAGATTCTACTCTCAAAGGAGGTTGAAGAACCGAAAGGGTATAACCACTCAGTCCCTACAAGGGAAGGCAATGGAGAACCAGAATCAGATTCTCAGTCTCCTTTAATAGAATGCAGCTCTACAGACGGACAGATTGTTATTTACAAGGGGGAAGCAGAACTTAAATACCACTTTTCCAAATCTAACAGAGACTTTTTTCCACCTTTGTCAAGACAGATCTTATCTCCTTGTGCACCCCCATTTATACCACTGTCAAACAATACATTTGCTTCTCTCCACAACCAAGATTCAGACCAGGAGTCAAATGCAGC